TTTTATGCTTTAGCACACATGTGGGCATAACATCATCTAATGTAAGCTTAAGTCGGCACGTGTTGCACGCGTAGCACCACCAGATTTGGAAGTTTCAATTTGCCCAACAAGTGCAACACGTTTTGGGGAGATAGGTTCGATTCCTAAATCTTCTCTAATAATCTGAAAATAATATCAAAACAAAATGGTACGAGCGTTTCTAAAAATGTGTCCACAATCGACGGAGCGTTCCGAGGAAAACAAGCGATTTCTTGAGAACAAGTAATGGAATTGAACTGGAATTTCAACAAATAAGAATATACGAGTTTGTGATTTACTACGTTAACAGAAACATTGACGTTTTCATATAAATGGAATTATTACACCAAAAGTAGTGCGAAATGGACTTTTCACGCGTTGTTTTCATGACATTTAAAGACATAGTTCCTCTTTCACGTATATTATCTCATGGAAATGGGCATACCAGCGCAAAGATCTTTGTTCCGTGGTGAAGAAAAGCCATCAAACATTGTCTGAAGAGCAGATTTATCTCCGTAATTCTACTTTTAACATGGCGACCCTGACCTTGAAAAAATATAGCCATTTGGGCGATAATAGGTGATTCAAAAGTGAAAATGAGTGCTTTTTTCGTAATTTACTTTGACCAAGCCTAGAAAAAAATCGAAGTGGTAAACCTACCCCCAATTTTTGATATTTTTGTCGTTTAGAAGTGTCCTAAATGATATCAAAGTTTAAGAAAATTTGTATGTCTAGAAATACTTTATAAATTAGTGCCAATATGGTGGGTTTGGGTGCTTTTTTGCTCTCATTTTTTACCCCATTTCTACGGTTGCCATGGCAACTATTAGGCTTTGGTAACCATGTCAACTTGATTTTTGAAGGACGTCCACCTGATAGTAGTTGGGCCAAGTTTGATGGAAAATGGGCCTGGTTTGATATGCTGGCAGTGAGGTTGATTGTGGCATGTAGTAAAACGGCAAAACAATGGTGGAGTCATACCATTATACTACTTTAATTCGTAATTTATGCTTAATTTGTCAATTTCAGATTCGTTCGATATAAACTATAGAGCTTTAATCAAGCAAATAACAGTTTACCATCAGAAGTTGAATAAATAAGATCTTTGCTCAGGGTATTGTTCATCCAGTGGTACATAATATGCCACCATAACGTTTGATATGTAAGAGAAAGGAGTAAAACAATATTACGGCCACCGAGGGATCTTAATTAGCCGCCATTTTATTTCACACCGCAGCGTTTTCGCTTGAATGAAACGCTCCGTCGTGCATCTAGGAGCGTTTGGGATACACCAGGAAATATAGACAGTCAATGAAATAAAAAATAAATGAGTTCCTTTAATTTCGTATAATTCACAATCTCGCCCTGCTGCACGAAATCGTCTCGAATGATGTCACTCATCCATTACGAAGGTTTATCTCTTACATTAATTAATGATAGTATGGCTCTCACTTATTAATGAACATTTAAAATTGAATGACGATTTGTCAAGTTATGATCGAAGCAAACCTAAAATCCTGTCTTCGCAAGGAACAGTTCGAAAACCTATGAGTATCTTGAATTTCACAAATCTTCTTCTACTGCATGCATGAAATCGTCCTGAATTTTGTCACTCATCTATCACGAACGTTGGTTTCTGGTTCTTTATCAATCAACGTAGCGTTCTCACTTATAAAATCGATATTTAAAACTGGAGAATATAATGCATGGTGATTTTATTGTCGTGGGCACAGCACTTTGACACTTAAACATTTGCGAGGCGTTTGACTGCGCCTGCCTTATTCCTCGATGTAAGTCATTAAGTTTAAAATTGTTAATATTCCAATACCAATATTAAATTATTTAAATGATATATCCTTCATATTTGTTTACGTTTTATATATCATAACAATCATCCGTTGTCTGACCCTTGGAAACGGAACAAAAATGTCCGTTAATATAAGGTTTCTATAAGTACAAAACTAATATGTTACGCATTATAAATATTCTGATTATTTCCCATAATTTTGTCACATCTACTCTGTCTTATTTTTTTAAAATAATAAAACGTTGAAAAGTACCCTTGTGTGATGCACTAATTGAAAAATTACATTTATGTTAAAATAATAATATATTTTTATGTAATGACAATCCTTTACATTGTATATAAGTTTCGATTAACAATTGAGTCTCATAAAATGCATTAAAATGTGAATGAAAAGTTTTATGTTTTTTGACCTCTTGTGATGACAGGCATAATTCGACCAGAAAGCCTTAAGTTTTTTCAGCAAAGGGCATTCTAAAAGCATAAGGACATATGCCCCTCCCTATATTTTATTATTTTTATTTATTTATTTTGACATACGCTTTTTTAACAGCGGCACACTATTATTAGGTGCGTCAGTATTTGTATTCTACATATATATTTTATAAGCACTAAAAATGTTTATATAAAATACTACAGTTTTCTAGGGTTAAAAAGTGTTGCTAAAAACATCTTCACATATTTATCAAACATATAAAAAATGTCATGCCCCCATTCCATAAAAACCTTATCACCAAGTAGTGTAATTAACCTATCATGAATGTTCGAAGACAATAAACTGCTACTTATAATGGGAGAAACATATTTCTCTACATCCTTGTAAAAGTTGGACCTGGCTTTGGCAAAATGGGGACACACCATTAATCTGTGTGATAGAGTATCTCTCAAATTAAGATTACACATTATACATATGCCATCACTTTTGCCCCACTTTTCATAATTTGTCTCAAGGCAGAAATTATTCGATCTTGCTAGAAATTTCATTTTAGATCCATAAAAATCAAGGTCATTCTTAAGGTACCTTTCGGTGCGGTTATGGGTTTTAACCTCCTTATATATTTCAAGGGAGGGGTGTTCAGCTACCCTAGTGTGGAAATTATAAATGCTTTGGGATTGAGATATAGTTAAAAATGAGGGGTACCATTCGCTGTCATTCCGAAAAATAAATAAGTCAAGTTGTGGACAATAATTTGGCTCAAAGTTAAGAAACATAGTCTAGTTTGAGAATATGCAGGCGGTTCTATGTTTGGTATATTAAAGAAGACGCAATTCACATATTTAGTCCCTCGCTTTTGTTACGTTGACGATCTTCATGAATATTATCACATTGGCAATATTCATGAATATCGTCAACGTAACAAAAGTGAGGGACTAAATATGTAAATTGCGTCTTCGTTAATATACCAAACATAGAACCGCCTGCATATTCTCAAACTAGACTATGTTCCTTAACTTTGAGCCAAATTATTGTCCACAACTTGACTTATAAGTGGTGTAGAATCTAGAAATAAAAATATCTTACCGAAAACGAATCCCGGAAGTTCTTCCATTTTGTTACGCTGACGTATCGTCAGCGTAACAAGGTGAGTACCAGTGTAGATACGAGTAGAAATAATTTTGATTTACTTCTTAAATATTCAAAATTCAGTTAAGGGATATCATAAAAAAGTATTTACCAACTTTGAAAAAATCTTCTTTGGAAATGTGACTTTTAGGTCGGTGAGATTCCCCATAGACCCCATGTTTCAAAATCACAAAAAGTGAAATATCTTTTCTTGTGTTGGGCAGAAAATGTTTTCTTTTACTGGACATATTCTCGTTTGTATGATTATCAGACAAATAAGGATTATAAGAAAATTGATCAACTTAAACTGATAATATTTAAGTTTAAGAGAACTTTCTTATATACCTGCCATGTTAATCAACCCGAATCAGCCACCTGGTGGCGAAACTGGTTGCTACCTACTCACATCTGGGTAATTAAAATGTTCTACTAATTACACTATACACTGCTAGAATATAGTCTAAAATAGAAAACTACGAAGGAGCAAATCCAAACGAACAAAATTTTCATGAATATTTACCAGCTACTCTACCTTTGATTATAGATAATGAAAGAAAGACATTGGAGATGTATCAGAATTTCCAACAATTAATCATTTTTTGAGTTTCAAAGGTACAACTCATAAAGACAATTCAAGATTTGTGGTTTTATGTAGGATGATGTAAGCAGATCTCTTTAACACTCTAGATTGTGGCGAATTTCCGCTTAAGGCAGCTAATGTACTGTTTTTCCGATGCAAGAATCCGAAAAATGATATCATATTTGTAATCTACTCTAAACTTTCTTCAATTTGAGAATAGATAGTACTATGTACGCACAAGTCCAAACGTAAAAGACCTAAACTTGTTACATATCCCAGCAATAAAAAGAAAACGTTTAAGTGCATACCAGCCAGAAGGAAAACAAACCCCAAACATCCCAAGCCATAGTCCAGCGTGAAAAGAAACAATTTCTAATGCCTCTCTCTCTCTCTCTCTCTCCCCATACAGAAGCCATTATATAAGACGTTAAGAATAAGTATAAATTGATAAACCAATACTCATAACATCAAAAATAGTTGTATAAAGTAGTATAAAGCAATACTTTGAAAAATCAAAATTATGATGAAATCCCACATTAGGGTAGCCATTTCGTATTTTCCAAGAACCAAAGCAATAAATGATACAATAATTGCAACTACTCTAAATTCATTTTCTTTTGAGTATAATATGGTTATACTTCAGAGAGATATAAAAATTAACGAAAATCCCCGTTTTCGTGACCTTCCATACAAGGTCCCTGGGGGTCAAGATGAAAAAGACGGAATATATGTGGAATACTATATGCTGTGAATACACTACCAAAATGTCTTAAAGAGTAGCTCATATAACTTTCGTTGGAAATGAAACACTTAGATTTTTTCACTAAAATTCCCGCCATTTTTGAAGCTGTGACCATTTTGATTTTTTCCGTCCTGCAACTTATCATAACATATCTTTCCCTCAAATATGAAGACGGGGGCCAAAATATATTCCTACCCTACCTTACAGTTTGTTTGAATTTTTATACTCCCTGGCATAATAGACAAACACTATGCAGTATCTAATGTTACAATGATAAAATTCGAATAGGAAGTATGCTATTAGACAAGATATATGTCTTAACTATATTTTTCGACAAAAATGACATCGAAATATATCTATAGGGGTGGTGGTGGGGGACCTCCACTAATTACACAGTGCCAGTCGTACTCTTCCGGATACAATGCATCTTGGTTCGCTGGAGGACCTCCGATGTCATTTACGCTCTTACATGTACACGTAGATATACCAACGATATCAACATAACCTGGTTTGTAGTACACATTTTGTTCTGTACTTTCGTCAAATTTCTTACAACCTGGGAATAAAAAGATATTGACAATAGTCCTTATGTTGTGGTCTTCAAATAATGAGTTTATTAAAGATATTTCTACTAACAATGAAATGACAAAGAGCTGACGTGTTCAGTTTTTATATTTAATGGTTTGGGTTAATTGATCCACATGAAATATCGATATGATGTGTCGCCATTACCCGAAAGGTAACGATACGATTGCTCACTCATTGCAACAACTGACAACATCTTATCGGATAGGAACTCGTTCATTCTTGAATTGAGAGAGCAATGAAGCACTTTTGAGAAGGATGAACCCGTTCTGATCGAGGAAGTTCGAGAACGATGTTTAATAAATTTGAACTAAACCTCGATGTAATATTCAAACACAATCATCAAGAATTTCTTTGTAGTTCAAATATCAAACCTTTCCAAACGCAATATTTGGTAGCAGCGTCACATTGAATAGCGGGCCCAGGGCAATCCCCAAGGTTTATCCAGTGGTCTTTGTATTCATCACAGTGACACGTTCCATCAATGCCAGGTGGATTCTTAGTTTCCGTCCATACATCGTCTATAGGGTGATCCCCATCCGGACCGGTACAAACAGTTTGTGATCTTGCGATTGAAATCACCAAAGCCAGCACTATCTGCAAGAAATAATCAACATGTCGAGGCATTCATTAATACACATTTTGAAAATGCAATTTATCATAGTTTTAACTTAAAACTCATTTTCATTTCGATATATTTGTACAATACACAAACTTTTGTGGGGTTTAAGTTTGTATTGGGAAGTTCAATACGTTAATAAGACAAAATTAGATACACTGTATGCTTCATCACAATCATAACACAGTGAGGCCATTCTAGATCTATATTTTTACAACAATAAATGGTTATAGCAGTTTTGATCCAAATCTAGTGTAATAGACTACCCTCATCATCGATAAAAACATGATACAAAGAAAATTCTAAAATTCTGAAATGTGAAAAAATAAGAAAATAAAAAAATTATGTATCTAAAGTACATCTTGCTATCTTTACGGTTGAGTACATATCTGGTTGGTGTAAAGCAATATTAAAAGCATGTGATGCGTCTTTTCGACACTCCCTCCCTAACAAGATCAATTTTCTGTTAGTATGTGTTCATATCTTCCCCTTTGTTGATTAGAAATGTAAATGTAGGCCTATCGTCATAAAATGTGAAATAAACATCAAATGAAAATACATTTAATTTCTTTAGGCTTTTAATTTTACCTTTTACCCTCTTTACCTCTGTTTACAGGCGGTGATACATACGGGTTATGTACTGGAAGTTTTGGATATGGGTCTATCCAGAGGGATATATGTAAATCTACCCGTGGGACCGTAGGGACGCACCAGGCATCATATACCCATATATCTTTTTAAAAAAATTTCAATTTTTTTTCAATTTTTCAAAGCGGGAAGATATGCCCTGGAGAGGGAAATATGGCGGCAGATATGGAGGTTCTGGATATGGAAACCTCAAAATACGGGATATATCTTACCAACTTATCTCTCTAAACTCTACTTGGCATAGGATAAGACTGTATAATGCGAGTGAACATCATCAGTTATCAAGTATCATGCGTGATCAATGAAGTAACAGCTGGCTGTATCTACTTATTTAACAATATAAACATAACTGTCCTGCTAGAAGTTTTGTAATCCCTTTCTTTTATAGTTTACTTCTCATAGAAACAAAATTGAATTTTGATTCAAAAATAGTTACTTTAAGATAAATATAACATTTCTCAACAATATTATGTCATTTTCATGTACCCCTGCATTTAGAATTAAATCTAGTTTTCAATTAAGTAAAGATTAGCACAACAACTGCCTCATAAAACTTGTATTCTTTTTTTTGGGGGGGAGGCTATAGGTAAAATGGGATTCGTCATTTAAAATTAAAAAGCTGCATGTACGGAAAATAATACAATATTTATTTATACCAAAAATGGATGGAAGTACAATATCATCCGGAAAATCATTGAAATAAAAATGAGCAGATGATATTTCAAACTATTAATCAAATTATATACATGTACTTACTGTTGTGAGGAAATTCATGCTTTTTGTCCTTCCGTGTCGATTCTTTTGCCATAATGCTGTCTATGCAAGCTGGTTTTATAGACAAGTTTTTTCACAATTGATTATTCAATTAGATATAACGTGACACTATACCAGCATAATGCGATGCAATTGTTTTAGTAATACGACTCTTGCCGTACGAAAAGGTTATCAACAAGATAATAAAATCGAAGTAGAACTAAAGCTTTAGACAATTACTTCTTTGGTTTGTCTACATTAAATCATACCACATGCATTAAAATTGTTATATCGATCATGTAAATTTTTGACAAGGAAGTTAAATATCTTATTTCTCATAAATGAATTATTTATTACAGTATTAAAACCCAATAATGCATAATACACGACTGTCTAATAAGGTGACGTCTCGCATGAATATATGTATGCATCATTTATTGTCAATTTACTCGATTACACAGTTCTCTGCACTTAATTTTCTCTAATTTGTATGATTGAAGAAGGTTTATTACGGAATCTCAAGGTGAATTACATTAATGAAACACCCCAGATAAAAACACAGATAAAACAATGTATCATTTTTTGTTTCTCTTCAAATGGTACATGCATCACTTACAGAATTGAGATCTTGGGGGTACAGAACGTGGGCCAGGAATGATACGTACAATAATGATACAGAAAGTGATGGACTATCATGGGTTTTTTCCTTTTTCAAAAATGACTGACATCGACAATCGTTCCTCAAAGAAAGGTTAAAAGATCCGATGATCCGAAATACATGGATAAGGACTGCAGGACCCTATCATATATCTAAACAACATCCTCGACTTTTCTAATGTTTTAATTTTCATGGGTTATACCATACAAGAAGCGGTCTATAATTTCTGGAATGCATTTTGATCTGAAGATGGTGGCTCTAATAAGTTTTGAAAAATAGATAGCATGAAGTTTCCCAATGTGAAAATAACAGGACAGACCTCAGAAGTGAGATCATCCGTGTCATTCAGGCCATACCCGCTGAGGAATGCATTCAGGTCCTTGACAACTGTGGTTTGCCTATAAGACGATGATGGCCAAACATGAAGCATGTTATTCGAAGTGCTGTAAAATTGTGCCTATCAGTCTGACGGTGATGAAATATAGTAGGGTGGTAGAAAATTGAATGATGTACAAACGTATCAAATATCAGGGAGTATTATCTTAAAATGACAAAGATATGAGGAAAATGCAGGGGTTCCGTTTTTGGCCAACCAGTACATGTTTGTTTTTTCATTGCAAATTGATTGAATTCCAATGCGGTCTCCCTTTCAGAAGTTTTTGGACATCGTGTAGTTGAATTGATATTTTCATTATCCTGATATCTTTACCACGAAGAAAACGTATTATTTTATAATGAAAAATGTCATATTTTGGGTCAGAATTTAGTCATTGTCAAAGATATTTGCCATGCCATCCCCAATCCTTTTCAACCAATGATGAATATATATATATTTTTGAACATGTAGACCGAGGAGCTTTGAGATAGCAGGGTAGATAGAATAGGGATGACTTATCTAAACATATCTATCTTTAGTTTAAATTGTATGATAGCAATTGATAATGAAAGTTTGTAATATATCTATTTTGGACAAATGTATACAAATTATACATCATTAATCTCACCATGGCTGAAATATTACATGTATATCTGACATTGTTTGAGTTAAAATTTGAGTTAAAAGACAGTTTGGGATATTGGGGGATTTGTTTTTAATGCTGTTTCTTCTTTTAGATGGTGTTTTGAAATGCTGCTTGGCTTCCCCTTTTGGCACTTGGACTTTCATGACCATTACTGTAAAGCTATCTATAGATACCAATGCTAGATACATCACACCGAAATAAAACAAGTGTGCAGTCTTGTCAGGCCGGGGGGGGGGGTATGGGCAAAGATTCTTTCAAAATCATGCAGTTTTTCATAATTCCGAGCATTTTTCATGTGATTTTAGTCCTTTGTCAATATAAAGCCACCTGGACTTTTTCTGAAAATTGAACCCCCTTGGCAAAAGCTGGCTACGGGTCTGTATAGCATTATAATTGAATCAAAATAAAATGATGTATACCATGTAATTTTACTTTATTTGTTTGTTTATCTGTAGTAAGAATACTATATATACCATTACATCTTGTTTTCACGTGATATTAACCCAAACTCAGGGGCAAGGACGAGATGGGACGAGATGATGATATACGTATTGATAATACAAAAGACAGCATGTAGATCAAGGATAAGAATATAACTATCATTACGATTTGTTTATATCTGTTATATCTGTAATGAAGTGCATTGACATTACCCCTATTGATAGCTAGATAACCAACCTAACAGTATAATGGCCAAGGACGAGATGGGGCTAGATAACAATATATTGTGTTGATAAACAAATGATAGCATCCCTGTAGACCCCATTTGTAAAATAACATTGAATATATGGACCTAAAATACAGTAAAATATAAGTCTCTTAGTGGATCTTGATACTGTAAACCACATAAATACTGCGGATGACAGTTCTGTGAAGATAGGCCTGGTTTTCAAAGGAAATTCAACTGGCAGAAAGAAATAGCATTTTTACAATGAATGGAGCTTGATGCGCAGAATGAAGACATAATCACTCCGCATAGCCAGCCGATACATTCACACGATGGCAACCACCTACACATGAAAATAGAGGAGATTACTCCCCATCATGCAATTGAAATGTTACATCACGTTCGAAGGCCAGGTGATAGGTGTTTCATTTGTACCTGACCCTATTTTTCATGGGTAGTCAATGATCTCTTGTATCAGAAACACAGTATATAAACCGCCACATCGTTGATGATATTCAGCAGGTAACTTGTCGGAACAAGGTAGGTAGCACCTAAACACTCTCTCGAATAATTTTCTAATAAACATCTTAAACATATAAAAGATAAATGGTTATTAAACAAGTAAATGACAATTTGTTATACTTATATTGTATGTGTATTAACACATTGCTTTAAATCCATGCTAAAATTTATATAAGAATGATAAACGAAACGAATGTAACATACGAGGCCCTAAGATAGAACCTTGTAGTATGATAGTATTAATAGGTTAAATGTCTTGTTGCAGATACAAGATGCGTTTCTTCGTGCTAGCACTATGCGTGGCTGCAGCTCTAGCTGCCCCTGTGAAGGTAGATACATAGGGTTAAAATAGTATTTTGTGATTCTTTTCGAAATGATATTCGTCTTTAGGGGTTTTGGAGGCTAGCGCTAAGAAAACATAAAACAAAAAAGTCATGCCTTAACTATATTTTGGGTTACTTAATATATGCAAATGATTTAAAAAAATAAAGTATCCTTTGGAATCGTAATTGTTACTTTTCAGCTTTCTTGTTTTATGGTAGTATTTCAAAGAATCATATATTTCAGATCAGGCGAACTCAGTTCAACTGTTCTTTTTATTGAGATAATAAAAATGTTTAATGATGTATTATCTTATTGTTTTAAACTAATGAAAACTTATAATTGTTATCCATGCAGAAAGAAAATCCATGGCAGAAACACAGACAAGCTGTGATTGGCCAGATTATTCCTACACTTGAGGCTGAGTTTGAGAAGATGAGCCCCGAACTCCAAGAGAAACTCCAGAAAATCAAAGCTGATATGGTCAAGAAGTAAGTTGATATTATACTGGTTTCTATTCAGTTTAATTACATTAACTCATTGAAAGATTAATGCTTAAAACAATACAAGGATACATTTGTGCCATAATAAAGCAATAAGTTGACATATATAATGATATGTACAGGTATAAAGGCCATAGAGTTGTACCCGATGTATATATTTAAAGATAAACTGAATTTTACCAACTTTACATACAACAGATCTATCATATGCATACATGTTCTATAGTGGACTATTATTGCCAGTCACATGACTCATGTCAATTGCATATGTTCTTTAGACAAGAAGAGGCAGAGGCCAAGAAGCAAGCAAGAAAACAACAGATCGCCGACATCAAGAAGGAGATTTCTGAAAACCAAGAAGAGTTCTTGCAGGAACTTGAAGTTGAGTTCGAGAAACTTCCAGAAGCCAGCCGCGAGGAACTTATTGCCGTAAGTAATAACATACATTATGGCCTTTTCACAATACGTCATACTTGTGCGGACCCTACCATATGCAGGCTCTATTACCAATTCTTTTAAAGACACGTTAAAAAGTATTTGCTTGAAAACCTTCTTTATTTCTTTGTAACTTTCGCTGATGTTGATATGGCGATCACCCTGTATTTCAGCAAAATATGATTTCGCAGGAAACTGATTATCTAAATATCTAAGTACAGGTCGGTTTAGAGTTCGTCTATGACTTTGTATTTCCCATAAGCAGAAATCCATATAATTGCAGACAAAGGCAGCATGGGAAGCCAAACAGAAAGCAGTCGAAGAGAGAAGGAAGGTCATCGCAGCAAAGAAGGAAGAGATGAAGAAAGCAAAAGAAGAAAAAGCTAAAGCTATTGCCGAGGCCAAGCAGAAGAGAAAAGAAGAGGAGGAAAAATTCAAGACATTCCTCACTGAGAAACTTAATGAATATTTCGATCAACTCCCCGAAGAAAAGCAACAGGAGCTTCTCAAGGTATGTAAGAGATTAGTTACACATCATCAGTTTCAAATATGATTTGTTTTAGCTACCATATAGGCATATGGACCCCTAGCCACAATTGCAATATTAAACACCATTGCTTGACATCTATTAAGTATGAAATGTATGTTCTCCAAAGTTTCATTGCAATCGGAAAAATATTAAATGCAGCCTAAGAATCTTTATATAAGTCGAAGATAAGTCCTCTCATGTGATGATTTAAATACGCATTCATATCATTTGCTGCTTCAGTTCATATTTTAACAGAAAATGAAGCCTTCGAAAATAAATTGCACTAGCTTCGCTTTATATACATGGATATATATACCAAATAAACATATACTGATATATTACATACGTACAGCTGAAGGAAGAACGTGAAAAGCAGATCGCTGCCAAGAAAGAACAGAAAGAAAAGAAGACCGAAGAGGTATTACTTTTCAAATTTGCTTTATTTATTTTGATTTGTCTTACTGTTGACTTGTTACATCAGTGTGTGTGTGTGTGTGTTGACAGTTTTTTTTAAATTTTACTTCGTGCTATCCCGTTTTGTGGTGATAAATAGTTCTGTGACATAAGTTGTCAAAATAATTGGCATGTCATGTAAATCAAAACAGTGCAGGATCAATTTTTTCATGAAATGAAATGCTATATTTTCAACTCCTTATATTATTTCCCGGAAAGGTCGTTCAATGAATATGAATTGCTCTCATGCTGTCATTTGATATTACGAAACCAAAATGATGTTTTCAAGGATTGTCGTTAATAGGAATATCTAAAGATTTAATGAACAACCGTTCGTGTATAACAGTACATTCAAGGCAAGCATTGCTTGACTTTAACTTTATATACCTCTGCTATGTTGTAGACCCAAGAGGATGAGGTAGAAGAAGAAAACTGGGAAGCCGAGCTTGAAAAGGAACTCGATACTCTGACTAAACAACTTGAAGAGGATTCCAGAATCTTCCTTGAAGAATATGAGAAATTCCTAAAGGAGCTTTTCGAAGAAGAGACAACCGAAGAGGTATACATTATAAACATCAGCAACAATCAGAAATGTTCTTACACAATCAGAATTAAGAATTCAAACTCTGAATACTTGGGTGTTATGTGTATTGCCAAAAGTATAGAATTTTGATATTTGTTGATAACGTAATAGATGCCAAAATGTAAAATTGTAATCACATATTCACATTAACCTTTCTAAATCAATCTGATCATTGCTACCAACATTGAACTTTTGCGTTTCCTTATTTGACACGCTTGTTGGCAATTGACTTTACATATTTTTAGGCAATGGTCATAGAATAATAACATTTATTAACATCTCATCTCATGTTCTTCAGACCCAGGAAGATGAAGAAGCCGAAGTTGACTGGGAACAGGAGGTGGACAACATGCTTAAGGAACTTGAACAGGAAACCGAACAAGTTCTTCTAGAATACGAACAGTTCTTGAAGGATCTTTTCGAAGAAGAGGAAGAAGAAGAGGTATGTCTAGATGATGACTTGTTTATATTGTTTGTTGGGGTTTATATTATGTGTATTGGTTCTTCAATGTCTGATAACAAAGATAAATGATAGGCGTATATCAAGGCATGTGTACCTGCATGAAATGAGATTATAATTAGTTCAATGAATAAATCAGTAGAGGGAGAGTTGACAGTTATACTTAGAGATTAACATTAAAAACTATGAATACTTCAGGTTGCTGAAGATGAGGTATCTGAAACTAGCTTCGAGAAGTGGTTGAGAATGGTTGGTGAGGCCAATGATGCCATCATCGCTGAAGTTGAAAAGGCATTAGAAGCCATGCTCAAGGAAGAAGGTGAAGAAGTCGTAAGTACATATCACTAAATAAATTGTTCAAAATTACTTCCATGAAAAATTTAACATCTCACTGTAGTATATACGAAGAATATTCTTAATTGATATCAGAAATGAACTTCTAAACTACATATAACTGTGAACGCACAAATTCTAGTTGGCGAAATAAACACAATATAAAACAATAACCATCCATGGTCATGAATTTACCTTATAGAGACTGGGTGTACATATGTACATAAAGAGGGCAGGAGTAGTCTGTTTATATATTATAAGGTATAGACTGACCATGACTTCCATCGTTCTGCCATCATAGTGCCTATGTGTTTACCTGTACTTAACGTTTTATATCATGTGATATCATCAATTTAATAGCCACAAGAAGATGAGATCTCCAGCGAAGAATTTGTTGAGGAGGTCCACGCTGAGATTACAAAGAAGGTCGAGGCAGCCGTTGGCGCAGTATTAGAGGCTATGGAAACCAAAATCAACAAGAAACTTGTCGCTAGAGAGGAAGCCATCCTCAAGAAAGTCAAAGCTATTGAAGCCAGAACTGAGAAGACCAAGGGAAGAGTAAGCTAAATTTGGTTCAATTCACGCAAAATTGTAAATGGGAAAATACAACACATGATGAAAAATGTTCGTTAGATGCAAAAGTACGTAGTTGTGTTTTAAAGTACTTTTCTGTAAATCATAGATAGATAGTCTTCTGAAAGGAATTACAACATAAACGACAACATAGAAATTGTTAATATGATGCCATTGCAATTTTTTGAACTTGTAGAAGACCGAAGAGATGACTGATGAAGAAATTGAACAGGAAGTCGAATCTTTCCTTGAGGAACTCCGTGTTGAGCTTGGTATGACCAATGAAGAGTTTGCTAAGGAACTCGAAGAGATCATCACAGCTGTAGCTGGGGAGATTGATGAGTCCGAAAAGGTGATTGTTGTTCACAATTGTGGTTAATTTCTGTAGTCATTGTGACTGGTATAACACCACATCTTGTCTCTTTAAAATATTAGAGTTGTGTGCAACAACGAATGATCATGCGGTACAGTATATGCAAACTGACATAAATACAGTTTCAGTTGGTGCGAGAACATTTGCAAATGTGCATTTCCGCAAACTGATTGAATATGTAGGTGAATTAAAGTGAATGAAACATAGTACATATATACAAGCTTTTTTCCCCAAACTACATTTACATTTCCATTTACATTTACACATCGTACATCACAGGCTGAAGATGAGATCAATATGGAGGAATTCGTAGATGAAGTCCACAATGAGATCACCAAGAAAGTTGAGGAGCGTGTCACTGCTGTTATGCAGAGAATGGAGCAAGCCATTACCAAGCAGCTCGAGACTCAGGAGAAAGCCATCTTGAAGAAGGTCGCTGCCATTGAAGCTAGAGTCGAAAAGAGCAAGACAAGAAGCAGAGTAAGACATTTATTTGGCTATAACTCAGTTCAATTGAGTATCAAGATCAGGAAAGTAAAATAAAAACAAATCAACCAACCGGGTCTTAATTTCTCAAATTCACATTACAAACAACTCATAAAACAGCCTAATGTCTCAAAACTAAAAATGTTTTGGCAATAATCAGAAACCTTAATCACATAATTAATGTCTGTATTATGAATCAAAGTTGGTACGACCAAAACGTACGTCAAGGCTTGTGTTAGTTATTTAACCAACATTAGTTATTTTTTATTTAGAAGACCGAAGAGATGACTGATGAAGAAATTGAACAAGAAGTCGAATCTTTCCTTGAGGAACTCCGTGTTGAGCTCGGTATGACCAATGAAGATTTTGCTAAGGAACTCGAAGAGATCATCACCGCTGTAGCTGAGGAGATTGAAGCATAAAGATTCACAGTAGCATCAATCGAGTTTTGTGCATTGTATCATGAATAACAGAAATAAAATCAATTAAAAATCAAAAAGGTTTCTGTGTATTAGTTTATAATTTATAACTTAAACAAGTATGCCCAATTTACTATAGAGACGAAGAGTGCCCACTTGAAGCACATGTTTTGTAAGATACTGTATGTAGTTTCTGACTCAGAAAAGCAAACACACAACAAATTGAATAAACTAAATGATTCTGATCAAGTTAATCAACTGTTCCTCGATCCTGTTTTTGGACACCCTGTAGTTGAAAAATTATGGAAGTATATACTTAGCTGAATCTATGGACTTTTCACTTGATCAAAATGATAAAATTAGACGTTACGAATAGACTAGATGCGAGTAGAAATGATCTTGATTTACGTCATTAAATATTCAAAATTCAGTCAAAGTGATGTCATATTTGAAATCTACATGTAAAAATACATCTAAAAAATATGGTTTCGAAAATTGTTTATCAACTTTAAAAATTTAATAATTTTTGAAAATATGACTTCTAGTTCGGGTTGATTCCCCATAGACCCCATATTACAAAATCACAAAAAGTGAAATATCTTTTTCTTGAATTGGACATATAACATTTTCTTTTACTGGACATACTTTAATTTGCATAACTATTCGATACATAAGGGCTATATGAAAATTGAACCACTAAAACAGATGTAATTTAAGTTAAAAGGAACTTTCTACTATACCCGCCATGCTATCTGACCCGAGCGAGCCACCTGGTGGTGAAACTGGTAACTACCTACTCGCATTTGCGTTATTGCTACATTATACTAGTATGGTGAATGATTGCATATCCTGTCATCCCAAATCGTTATTTCTCAATTGGTTTACATAGAAATGATCCCGTCATCCAGAGGTCATCAATTTCCGATTTGATGAAAATAAAAAAATGAGACATATTTTTATAATTGTTCATTGAAATGTCCTGCCCAAAAGTACTTCAGGTTTTGAGATTAAAAGAACGCAGACGACATTTATTATTTGTTGTAGCAAATGAAGAGACATCTATTGCCCATTGCAAACTTTAAATACATTTAGTATGTCTATGGGACATTTGAGAAGGGAGGAAAGGATACTATAATTTTAAACAGATTTTTTGTCTATGGGACGTTTGAGAAGGGAGTAAAGGATACTATAATTTTAAACAGATTTTTTGCTCTGACGAAAAGCATCATTTTGGTTCGAATGAAAAGGATTTAAACCTACAATATCCTTATGCTGTTTGTAATTCCAATGTGTGTACTGATGGGAGTAAAATATGCGCCATGATATTGACCGTATATAATGCTTTCATTATCAGTTTCTATGATGACATCATATATGCATATTGTACATTATCACCTCGAAATTTATATAAATTGATGGCATTTTGATATTTCCTGTCAATATAAATAAGGGGAGCTATTTATATCTGTCTGACTCATATGCTTGAAATAACCATTGAAAACTTGTTCATTGACAAATGACAGCTACAAGCACTATCAGGTGCTCCTTTCACTTTACAAGTATGCACTTTATGTGTAGTATATGGTTTTACGAGTCTAGTACTGCTGGGTAGATATGTCTTGTTTACAAGTGACGATGCAAATGCCATGCAAAATTCCCCGGACACATTCTATATTCTGATTTTTGAAGAATATAACCGCAATAGGACGCGTCAATTTGAAAGCGGTCGATCTAAGACTACCGAACGAAGTAAGTGCGGACGGGCTCCTAAATTACTTGCAAGTCCCTCCATTATAGTACAGTATGTTTAATGAGACTTGTAACTGGTCTATATAACGTAACTAACCTGAGCTTACTTTTACTCTTGTCAATTAGGTTCTATCTTGAAGTATCAAAATGTCTTGATTAATGAATAGGTGAATACTCCTTACACAAGGAATGACTAATTTCTAATGACTATTTCAAAAGTTTGAGTGTAACATTTGCACTTTGTTCATTGACTAAGAAAAAATATTAATAACATTCTATGATCTTAAAGGCAGAATCAGATCTATAGGGGGTGACAAAATTACAAGCAACTTTTATATTTGACCTACCAATCTATTCCTTACAATATCAAATACAATATCTCCAAAAAGATTCACAAAATGTTATAAATTGGTTAAGTTATTAATGGTTCAAAGTGCAAAAATGGGCGGAAAATGTTTAAATTCTCCCAAATAATAAGAATGGTAACCATTCTTATAGAAAAATAATAGATTATTGTAAAAATCTTTAGTTTTCCTTGAATAAAGTATGCACTTTTGTGATTTTTAGAAAATAGACATAACAAGGAATGACATGAGCCAAAAATATTTTAAAATTGAGACAATTTTTTGTTTAGCCTGCTTGCTATATCTGATTCTCTCTTTAATAGAGAAATATTCTCGATAAATTCATGAGTCATTCTAGTTTTTATACACTTAAGCAGACAATGTAAATAAAACCAACGACAGGTCTGGCTGTAAAAAACGAACCATTCACAATTATGTTTTATTGAATAAAATTTACATCCCCGGTTGTAATCGTTGGCAATAAGATAAAACATACAATACGATCTCAGAACAAATATACTCTCGCATTTAAAATGTCACGTGTGTTATTTTTGAAATGAGGAATTGTGTGAAAATAAGTGGAACTAACAGTAAATATTAGCATCACTATATTTTAGTCATTTTAATAGTATAGAAATTCAGTGTAACCAAAATATTCATTGATATTTAAAAAGAGAATCATCATTGGATTGCTTTTAAAAACGTGACATTTTTGACGTTTTACTCAAGAGCTATTTACAAATAGCGGAGGAGTGGAGGCAATGTGAGATAAACGTCCCGTTCATGAATGTAGACAGTAGTAAAAACGTCCACTATATATATTATCATTTGTGGAATACCGAAAATAGGACTTGGTTTTTAAACCTCGCCAGTTTTCTACTAAAACCTTCATTCACTTATTTCTTCAATTGTCCATTTCCCAGCCTTGTCTATGTTTTATTGTGCATTCTCATTTCCTCGTTTTCTTTGGTCTTACACTTCCTCATTTTAATCACAATGAGAGGGACTTTTAGCCTTTCCATTTTCTTCAACCCCACGACTCCTTTATTACATTTCACCCCCGCATTGCTTTCACTTTTTCGCAATGAATGAATGTAATTAAAAATTTAGACACCGACCTATCGCGATGAGCTCACCTTCGCCAAGAGAGTTCACGTCTTATGACCTTTTAAATAAATTTGTTTTTATGTTTGTTATCGGATGCGGCGATACTGGATTGATGTGGGGAAACAATCAGGTTGTTTGTTTTCATTTTTTATGGAAACGCTAGCAGGGCACTGTTATGTGAATGTAACATTATTCTGGCGATGATTCATATAGGCCTCATAAAGGTCATTACCGGCTGAGGGCGCCTACACATGTTTTTTGAGCAAGCAGAAATCTCGAATTCACCTGGGATGCAGAGGTTCATGATACGGTGCTGAAACTCACATTTTAAGATTAGATAACTCTCAAACTCTAGGAAAATACTAGCTTGGATTTATTGGCATAAGTCGGTGTATTATTACTCTTCGATAATGCAGGGATAGAAAAGGTACAACTACATACTGTGTTTGGAATTTCTCTTTGAAGATCTACTTTTAGCTACGCAGTACCTTCGAGGAATTTGGTAAGTTCATAAATAGCGTTTGATTTAAAAATACAAAATGTCTTAAGTGTAAATTGATATAATTTGTACGCTTTGTCGTTCCTTAAAGAAAAAAGCATGTGTTTCTAAGCATAGCATATCTTGGGGATATCATTGTTATCATACGAGTACTTTCCCGATAACATCATTACGGTTGTGGCGACTTTCTTCGTCTGCTTTGCCAGTACAGATATTATTGCTAAGAAGAGGTAAATACAATATATTTTAATGGCCTTAGATGCATGTCTAAACATCACGTCCACACACAATGCCTTAGCCAACCAAAATAAATAGCACAACCAAATAAATCCAAGACAACCAACAGCACAACCATCTAATCCATCATACTCAACGCATCATATAGTTATAAACCTCCTTCCATTCATCTCACACTTCGATCAACAGCACTTAGGCCTACCACCTAGCAAAGTTTACATATCAAATCTCCATACAATTAGTGAAACGTCCATTTCCATAACTGGTTCTGACATCACACGAATTCTCTTCACTCACATCGCATGCATCATTACAACTCCAAGAATAAACTGTTAACATCGAATACGTCAAACTATCAACATGTTTATAAAGTAGAGAACGAACTGTATCGCCATTCGCAAATATATCAAAAATTTTGTTTGAGAATATTAACATTTTGCCAACCGAGATTTTCAAAGGTTAAGAATTCCAAAATTAATTGTTTTAACGATGGATATAATACAATGATGTCATAGTAAGAAAACAAATTAAGGAATTCTTAGTACCCCGGACAGGTTGTATGATGCAGTCATTTTTTTACTCTATATTTGCAATAGAACAACCATTCTTATCAAAATTTTCATATTTTATTCTGGAGACAATTTCCAACATGGAAAAAAATATTTTAACGAAATTCTTAATTTTATGATTTTGATAGGCTTTTTTCAAAAACACTACACTGTCAATAAAATACAGGTTTTGCTTGAACAAGTAAACTTTTAACGTCATTTTAAAGATTGTCTAGTTATTGAATTTTTGGCCGCCTAAAGTCTTTCCAGATATATTTGATGCCATATTAATTATGGCCGATTATTGTTATTCATTTTTGTCATATTCAATAGGCCTAATATTATTACAGTGCATTAGGCCAATGAAAAACTTGTCACTCTGGGTCACGTTTCCTCTGAAAACGCACCTTTTTCTCCACTGGGTTTTTCCGCCTCCGTCATTCAGCATGCAAGCCTGTGGCACGTAAATAGTACCCTGCTTTTAAAATGTCAGGTCTCCAAACAATTTCATGATGAAATTTGACACAGCTATAATAACATCTCTGAAGGATCTAATGCCAAGAATACTTGAAATTGGAGATTCGTAATGTTTTACTTCATTTTGGACAATATTGAACAGTTCGATCGGGTTGAACTCATGTCCGTGGACAAGAAGATTGACCTCCTCTATCTGGGCTCAATGTAGGGAACGCTTCACAAAACGAGACCCAGAGCAACAAGTTTTTATTGGCCTAATGCACTGTAATAATATTGAATATGACTCAAGTGAATAACAATATTCAGCCATAATTATTAATATGGCAACAGATATATCTGGAAAGACTTAAGGCGGCTGGAAATTCAATAGCCAGACAACATTTGAAATGACGTTAAAAGTTCAATTGTTCAAGCAAAAACCTGTATTTTATTGACAGTGTAGTGTTTTTGAAAAAAGCCCGTCAAAATCATAAAATTGGGAATTTCGATAAAATATTTTTTTTCCATGTTGGAAATTGTCTCCAGAATAAAATATGAAAATTTTAATAAGAAGGGTTTTTCTATTGCAGATATAGAGTAAAAAAATGACTGCATCATACAACCTGTCCGGGGTACTAACGTTTTAAAGCTTCTGTTAATAATACTCCCATTAAGACGAAATTCATGATGCATGACAAGCAATTCATTCATTCTTCCTGAACTATATGAAAATGTGTCGCGATCGTCAAAAAGATTTTATACCACTCTAAGTCCAATTACAGTTGTATAACATGGGTCTATAACAACGATATACAGTGGAGAGTGGTATATCGTCATCGTATACAACTCCTCCGTATACACTCCAGCGTATACCACTGTAGAAGTGCATTCTGGGAACTAATGAATAAAAAAATCATGAACATTTTCATGATTTCCTAGAATCAAGTGACGTCATAAATGGTTCCGGCATGATTTGCTAGAATCAAACCACGTCATAAATGGTTCGAGATCAACATCAGCATTATTGAGTTGGCTATGGGATATTTATGGTTTTTAATTGTTATGATTGTGTTCGAATCAACTGTAATTGAACTTAGAGTGGCATAATAAGATTATATAATGGTTCATTCTGTATATCGTGCATTTTATACTCTCGTGAGAATATAATATATTCACTCGTTCGCTACGCTCACTTGTGAATATATCATATACTCACTCGAGTATAAACACGATATACAGAAAGAATCATTATATAACCTCATAATATACCATTTGATAGTTTGATCTCGCTTTTTGAAAACAGAGCTTCGTTTTATTAGGCTATATGCCTTAGGATACAACAGTATGAAGGTTGCATTTACAGTTTAATGTACATATACAGTACATCTTTACATCTTATTGTATGTTGTAACATTTTATCATCAGAACTACTTGTATCATTACAACATCTTAAAAATTACATATAAAAATTACTGGAAACATGCATGTATATGTATATTTAGTCAAATAATGATGTGATTTCATCATTTGACACCACATGTTACAGTTTGCTACCCATTAACACAGACCTTATCTGTTAAACCACATTTGACCAAAGGGTATATAGATGTAATTATTACGTATACATGACGAGAATACATTGAGGTGATTTAGTGACAAAGTTAATTGAATTATATTGTCGCGCGCCAGACTCCCGCCGAGTACCTGTACTCCCTCGGAGAAGGTCTGGTGGCGATGATAAGGGATTCGGAGGTGTTTATCACGGGCGCCGAGCTTGTTTGGTGCTTCGGCTGTCACTGAGCTAGGAGATGGAGAACACAGGAATATACAAAACAATCAATTACAGGATTTTTAACAATCTATTCAACACAATAATCACAATAAATTTCAAAGTGTCCTTTAATAAAGCCTTTATGGCCAATAACTCAAATGCAAATGTCTCTATATATATACAAGGGTCCAAAACACTCTGGCTCTGAGTTATCTGTCTCTACTCTAATCTGCAATACTCTGCTCTCTACTCTGCTTGTCTCTGCTCTGCTATACTCTGATATACTCGGCTCTGCTCTCTGCTATGCTCTGCTCTCTGCAATACTCTGCTTGTCTACTCCGCTCTGCGCTGCTTGAAAAGAGCTCTCCCTCTTGAGCTATCTCGTCTTTGGGAAGGAGCCCTGGCTCCGGAAGTAACCTCTGCTTCGGGAGTCGCCTTGTCACGGGAGTAACCACCCTTAAACTCTCCTCAAAAGAATGCTTTCACTCTTTGAGCTACACTGTCTCTTGGAAGGGGTTCAGGCTCCGAGAGTAACCTCTGCTCTTGGAGTCACCACTTCTCAGGATATACCTCTACAACCTCTGCTCAATTCACTCTTGAGCTACACTGTCTCTTGGAAGGGGTCCAGGCTCCGGAAGTATCCTCTGCTCTTGGAGTCGTCACTTCTCAGGAAAAACCTCTGCTCTCCAACGAGATCCACACACTGGGAGTACCTCAGCTCCGGGAATCGCCTCGTCTCAGGAGTAACCTCTGCTCTTGAACGAGATCCACACACTGCTAGTACCTCAGCCCCGGGAATCGCCTCGTCTCAGGAGTAACCTCTACTCAAAGAGTGCTCTCACTCTTTGAGCTATACTGTCTCCAAAGAGTAACTTCTACTCAAAGAGTGCCCTCACTCAATGAGCTACACTGTCTCCAAAGAGTAACCTCTGCTCTCGGAGTCACCGCTTCACAGGAGCAACCTCACTACAACCTCTGTAGAGAATAACAACTCTAGAATGTCGATCAAAGGATGAGATTAGACAGAGCTGTTATCTCTCGCCTTGGAGCACCTCAGTTCCAGTAATGTAACTCTGGCTCCGATGAGAGTAAACCTTCCTCAACATACAACCCTGGGTGAGAGTCAGATCGCCTCGACAAAGTAGGAGCATTTATAGCTTGGAGGGGTAATGACTAGGAGCCACCAATACTCAGAGCAGAATGACTCACGAATATCGATCAAAGAAATGAGATTAGACAGAGCCAAATCTACTCAGAGAATCTGGAGCTCAAAACTTCTCAAAATGACGTCACTTCCTTCAAAATCAAAAATGGCCGACCGCCGGGAATTGTGGGAACAAGAAAGCAAGATGGCGGACAGCTATTTACCCATTTTATGCCAACCTCAATCAAGAAAAATGGCTAACTCACCAAAACACTGGCTGTTGTCTTGTATTTTCTTCAATAGTCGCACCAAATACAATCTGCATCTAACGATTACTGCAACTAATCCAATATATCCAAAATAATGCTCCAATAAGTCCACAGATTAAATAAAACACGCTTGCACATAAATAAATCCAAACTGACGAGGTCTTATATCTTCAAGATCTTGGTTTACTCTGATTCACGTGGTTAATTGCATACAATAAAATCCAGACACCTCGAGTTGCATCATGGGAAAACTACAACTTAAGTTGGAGGGAAATTCAAATAAAAGAATCTGATTGGCTGATCACCGGTTGCTGGGTACTTAATTATTCTAATTTATTCCACTACAGTCTGCTGATCAGTAAACATCCCAGTGCTTACGTGACATTCTGCATGTACACATTTGAGCCATCAAACTCTCTGAAAGAGTCGACTGACTCCACATATAAAAGTTCAAAATAAAACAAAAGTGAAAATCACAAATTCGTCACACTCCCTCCTCCCAGGATGGATCGCCCTCGATCCAACAAGGAAGATATAACATACATGATTAAGTACAATGTTTCAACAATAACGCATAT